CGATCACCCAGCTAAGCTCCTTCCTCAATACAAGGTGTGGTGTAGCCCCTTCCCTTGCTGGATGATCTACATACTGTTTCAAGAAACCCTCCTGGGTGCATCTAACAAATTCTGCCCCATCCGATCCCCTGACATTAAGGGAGGCCCAGTCAATATTGGACAAAAAGTTAATATCACCCACTACAAAAACCCTGTTATTTTCACATGTTTCCATGACCTGCCTACATATGTATCTCTCTATCTCCCACTGGCTATTGGGAGGCCTATTATACAGCGATTGCACCTTTTTTATTCCTGAGCTCAAGCCAATAGTCTCACTCCAAGATGTTCTCTCTTAGCGCAGCTGTGACATTTTCCATAACTAGTAACACAACTCCCCCACCCTTTCACATCCTTCTCTATCTCGCCTGAAACATTTAAACCCTGGAACGTTGAGCTTCCAGTCCTGCCTTTCTCCCAACCAAGTTTCTGTAATGACTACAACATCATCGTTCCATGTCCATATGCAGGCCCTAAGCTCATCTGCCTTACTTGTTATATTCCTTGTATTGAAATAAATACATTTCAAACCACCAGTCCCACAATGTTCACTATCCTGGCCCTGTTTGTTCTTCCTATTAAACTCACGTGACTTAACTTCTCCCGCTCTCGCTCTACATGCTGACCTACTGCTCTGGTTCCCATACCACTGCCAAACTGGTTTAAACTCTCCTTGGTGTCGAGGGCAGTGATTGACCAATTACAATCAAGCTGCCTGTTTTAAAATCGACACAAAGTCTGGCAATTAACTGTCAGTCATCATTATTTGGTGCATTTGCAGTGTGAACACTCCTGTCAATCAGCATCTACTTGTCAACCAATCAGCACTATCCTCTTATGCAACGTAAATGTCGGTTTTTCACTTGAATTTGTATTCTTGCGAGGTATCCTGATGAATCCCCCAAGGCAAAAACTTCAACAAAATCCCTCCCTTTTCCGCAACACTCACGTTCTTATTCTTCCCTTGTTCAGTTCCATAATGAGGCTAATCCTAACTGAATTATGATCACTATCATCCAGTTTCTCCTGCACTCAAACTCCTTCCTCCTGTAACCTTCCTTTGTTTAAACTAAACTAAACCCAGAACTGCCCCTTCATCTGCAAACAAAATACCAACTGAGGCCTACCCAGGGATTTATGAAGTTTTATTCTAACTTCCTTCTTGTTTTTGTTTATTTCTTGATTAGTAAAACCAGGGATCCTGTGTACTTGTATTTCTCACCATGTTCTGTCACGTAGAGAGAATTGTTTTGTAGATAATTTCAAAGTAATAACTTACAGCTTCACCAGGTAACCCTCGTGGACCGATCTCTCCATCATCACCCTGAGGAAAACAAAAGATGAAAGCAGATACTTCACTGGAGGGACAGAAAGGGTTCGGAGAGAGAGTAGATCCTGTTAGATTCTCAGTGATGAGTCATTTAATGAAGAGAGAGAATAAGTAGCTGCACATTCTCACCCTTTCCCCGTCTTCTCCAGGAGGTCCAGGTGGGCCCAATGCCCCTGTCTCACCCTGTAAACAAACAGCAAGGGCAGAGTTACACATTCACATCTCACCTCCTTAAATACAGGGACCTGCTACAGCCCAAAGGCTGCCAAAAGCTGCAAGAAACATATTTTGTACAAAAGCAGTACGAAGTATACATTGCCAACAGAATCTCATCAGAGTATGCTGCACAAAATCGTCAGAAAAGCATTGGTGCCGTGTTCCTGAGTAACTGACCTCACAATTGCTGCTGTGCTGCCCGCTATTATTGAGTGAAATCACACAGAATCCTACGGGGCAGATTGAGGCCGTTCAGCCCATCAATCCTGTGCTGATTCTTTGAAAGACTGATCTAGTATCAACCACTCCCTGGACGTTTCCCCACAAACCTGCAATTCCCATTTGAACGTTATGATTGAATCTGCTCCCATTGCCCTTTCAGGCAGCACGTTCCAGATCCCAACAACTCACTGTGTAAAACAATCCCCCTCATCTCCCCCTCTCTGGGGCTTTTCCCTTTGATCTGTCTGCGTCTGGTCACTGTTTAATTTCTAAGGGAGGCACAAGAAGGTAAATTCAACAAAAGGATCATAACTTTATTCTTGTGAAAGAAAGTTTAGTATCAAGCCAAGCTCACATTGAAATAATCACAGCAGGAAAGGGGTTCCCTCATGGAGGGTAGGGAGGGAATTGCAGGATTTTGACACAGTGACTCTGAAGGAACACTTATATATTTCCAAGGCAGGGTGGTGAGAGGCTTTTGGGGAACTTGCAGGGGCTGGTGTTCCCATGTATCTGCTGCCCCTTGTCCTTCCAGATGTTGTGGGTTTGGAAGGTGCTGTCTAAAGAGCCTTTCTGAAAGGTGACGATGCTGCAAGCTGTCTCTAAATGGCAAACCCTGTTCCCCATGTGATTGGTGAGACTTAGAGAGGAAAAGGTTTGATTTGATATGGGACAGAGAGAGAGAGAGACAGAGGGTAGCGGTGGAAGGGTGTTTTTCAAAATGGAGGCTGGTAACTAGTGGTATTCCCTAGGGATCAGTTTTAGGTCCTCTGTTGTTTGTAGTATATATAAATGATCTGGGGGAAAATGTGCATGGTCTGATTATTAAGTTTGCCGATGACATGAAGATTGGTGGAGTTGCTGATGATTGTGAAAGGATACAACAGGATATGGATGATTGGAGACTTAGGCACAGAAATGGCAGATGGAGTTTAATCCAGACAAATGTGAGGTGATGCATTTTGGAGGATCAAATATAGGTGTGAATTACACTGTAAATGGCAGAACCCTTAGGAACATTAACATTCAGACAGATCCGGGTGTACAGGTCGACAGTTCCCCGAAAGTGGCAACACAGGTACCCAAGGTGATTAAGAAGGCATATGGCATGTTTGCCTTCATCGGCCGGGGCATGGAGTACAAGAGTTGGCAAACCATGTTGCAGCTTTATAAAACCCTTGTTAGACCGCATTTGGAGTATTGTGCGCAGTTTTGGTCACCACACCGCCAGAAGGGTGTGGAAGCTTTGGAGAGAGCACAGAGAAGGTTCACCAGGATGTTGCCTGGTCTCCAGGACATTGACTATGAGGAAAGGTTAAAAAGACTAGGATTCTTTTCACTGGAAAGACGGTGGCTGAGAGGAGACCTGATAGAGGTCTACAAAATTATGAGAGGCATAGATAGGGTGGATAGTCAGAGGCTTTTTCCCAGGGTTGAAGTTTCAATTACAAGGGGGCACAGGTTCAAGGTCAGAGGGGGAAAGTTTAAAGGAGATGTGGGGGGAAGTTTTTCATGCAGAAAGTGGTAGGAGCCTAGAACGTACTGCCAGAGGAGGTGGTGGAAGCGGGAACATTGGCGACATTGAAGAGGCATCTGGATGGTTACACGAATAGGGAAGAAATAGAGGGATACAGATCGAATAAGGGCAGAAGGTTTGTTTTTTAGTTTAGTCAGGGCACGATGGTCAGCACAGGCTTGGAGGGCCGAAGGGCCTGTGCTGTAATTCTCTTTTGCTTTTTGTTCTTTTGAGAGGAATAGGTGGGGGTTGGGGCTGAGAGAGACAGGGACAACGTGAGAGACACACAAAGACAGAGAGAGAGAGATAGACAGAGACAGACAGACAGAGAGAGAGGAATGGGTGTGTGCCAGGGATGCGGGAGAAACAGAGAGCATTGCCTTAGGTGGAGTACAATGGAGGTTCAGCAGGTCTATTCCTGGGAGGGTGGGACCGTTCCATCAGGAGGGATAGAGGAGGCTGGTGAGAATTCTCAGGAATTTAAGAGAATAGAAGGCTATCCGTAGAAAGTTACAACATTCCAAAAGGGAGAGTGAGTGTCTGTGCAGAAAGAGACGTTGCCTCTGTTTGGGGTGTAGGTGAAGGAACACAGCAACTAACCGCTTCGCATTTAGATGGGGAGAAAAGTCTTTACTCAGATGGGGGTGAATCTGTGAAATTCACTACTCCACAGGGCAGGGGTTACCCAGGAACTGGGTCACTGGGAAAGATCAACAGATTGGTATTTCCTAATGACATGGAAGTATATTGGAATAGTGTGGGAATTTGGTTCTGAGTGAGACAATCTGCTATGATCTGGAATCTTAGATAAGGACTGAGAGGCTGAATGGCCTTCTCACACTCCTATCCCCTTCTCTGGGGAAATTCTCCAAGCAGCTGTTTGTGAACTTCATCAGAATGTAACAGGGGGAGGGAGAGAGGGTAAGGGGGAGAGGGGGAGGGAGAGAGGGGAAGGGAGAGAGGGGGAGGGAGAGAGGGGGTAAGAGAGAGGGGGTGAGGGAGAGGGGGTAAGGGAGGGGGGTAAGGGAGACAGAGAGGGAGAGATGGGAAGGGAGCGAGGGGGAGAGATATAGGGAAGAGAGAGGGTAAGGGAGGGGGGGAGGGAGAGAGAGGGAGAGTCAGAGGGTAAAGGAGAGGGGGTAAGGGAGAGAGAGGGAGGGAGAGAGAGGGAGGGAGAGAGTTAGAGGGGAGGTTGGGGATGCCTGTAGGAGTCTCTGGGAAGGAAGGGGATGGTTAGGGTTTAAATTGCCCTGTGGAAGCTGGTGGAATTTCAATTGAATTAGTAAAATCTGGAATTGCTCATTGACTACAGCTCCACCTTCAGCACCATTATCCCCTCCAGACTGATCTCAAAACTCCGTGACCTCGATCTCAGCTCCGCCCTCTGCAACTAGATCCTCAGCTTCCTGGCCCATAGACGGCAACCAGTGAGGATAGGTAACTGCACTTCCTCTACAATAACACTCAACACTGGAGACCCCCAAGAATGTGTCCTCTGCCTCCTACTGTACTCCCTGAACACCCATGACTATGTTGCCAAATTCCGAACGAACACCAACTACAAGTTTGCTGACGATACCACCGTAGTGGGATGGATATCTAACAATGATGAGTCAGAATACAGAACGGAGATGGAGGGCTTGGTGACGTGGTGCAATGAAAACAACCTCTCTGTTAATATCGGCAATACTAAAGAACTGATCATTGACTTCAGAAAAGAGGGAGGAGAACATGCCTCCACCATCTCCATGAACCAAGCTGAGGTGGAGTGAGTTGGGAGGGTCAAACTCCTTGGAGTGACGACAACAATCTGTCCTGGAATTCCCATGTAGATGCGACGGTCAAGAAGGCACAACAATGCCTCTTCTTCCTCAGGGGGCTCAGGAAATTTGGCATGTCCATAAGGCCCCTCACCAACTTCTACAGATGCACCTTTGAAAGCATACTGTCCAGGTGCGTAACGGCCTAGTACAGTAATTACTCTACCCAGGACTGTCAGAAACAACAGAAGGTGGTGTGCACAGCCCAGACCATCACGGAAGCTAACCTTCCATCCATGGACTCCAATTACACCGTTTGCTGCCACAGAAAGGCGGCCAACATCATCAAAGTCCCATCACACCGCGGTAATGATCTCCTACAGCCTCTTCCATCAGGCAGAATTAGAATTAGAATTAGAATTAGAATCCCTACAGTGTGGAAACAGGCCCTTCGGCCCAACAAGTCCACACCGAACCTCAGAGCATCCCACCCAGATCCATTCCCCTATGACCCACCTAATATACACCCTCTACCTCCCTGAACACTACGGGCAATTTAGCATGGCCAATCCACCTAACCTGCACATCTTTGGACTGTGGGAGGAAACCGGAGCACCCGGAGGAAACCCACGCAGACACGGGGAGAATGTGCAAACTCCACACAGACAGTCGCCCAAGGCTGGAATCGAACCCAGGTCCCTGGCGCTGTGAGGCAGCAGTGCTAACCACTGTGCCACCGTGTCGCAGAAGGTACAGAAGCCTGAACACATGCACGAACAGTTTCAGGAACAGCTTCTTCCCTGCCATTATTAGACTGATGAATGGAGTCTCTAACTTCAAATAATGCCCATCTTGCTAATGTTGATCTTGATCTTGCCTAACAAGCACGCTGTGCAAAGTAACTTGTATGCCTCTATCCAATTTTTTTCTCATCCTATGATCTGTGTGTCCCTGCTTACAATGATTTGCCTGTACTGCTCACAAACAAAGCTTTTCACTGTCCTCAGGTACACGAGACAATAAATCAACTGAAATCTCATCTCAGTGACAGTGACCATGAATCTATCATCACTTGTTAGAAAAACCCATCTGGTTCACTCATGTCCTTTAGGGATGGAATCTGCATTTCTTACCTGGTCTGGACTACATGTAACTCCAGACCCACAACAGTGTGGTTGACTCAAGAAGAAGATTGGGTAATTACATCAATGGCAGAGGAGCTGGTGCAGTGGGAAGAGATTCAGATTTTTAGATCACTGGGATCTCTTCTGAGGCAAAAGGGACCTGTTCAAAAGGGATGGATTTCACCTGAACTGGAGGGAGACCAATTTTGTGGCAGGAGATTTGCTAGAGCCCCTCCGAACGCGTTAAACTAGTCTGGTGGGGGGTGACGTGGGGGTCCTAAATAGTAGTGAGAATAGAGATTTGAGGCTAGTTCGGAAGTTAAAGAGAGTAAGTTAATTTGAAAAGACAGTTAAAAGTCAGAGAATGAGGTAACCCTGAAGAATCAAAATGTATTTATTTCGTAGCAAGAGGCCTGACAGGGAAGGCAGATAAACTCAGGCCATGGGACTGGGATATTATAGCTATTACATAAACATGGCTAATGGAGCGACAGGACTGGTAGCTCAATGCTCCAGGAAGAATAGAAACGGAGGCAAGGGGGTGGGGGGAGTGGCATTTTTGATAAAGGAAAACATTGCTGTTGTACTTAGAGACGTTATTTCTGAGGGATCAACCAGTAAAGCTTTATGGGTGAAACTCAGAAATAAGAAAGGGATGATCACTTTGATGGGATGGTACTATAGACACCCCATAATAGTCAGAGGGAAACTTGCAAGCAAACATGTAGAGAGATCTCAGGTATCTGTAAGAATAATAGGCTGGTTACAGTTTTAATTTTCCAAACATAGACAGGGACTGCCATAGTATTAAGGGCCTGGATGCTAAGGAATTTGTTAAATGTGTTCAAGAACATTTTTTTTTAAAATCAATATGTAGATGGCCCGACTAGAGACGGAGCAAAATGTGTTCTTCTCTTGGGAAATGAGGCAGGGCAAGTGACGGATGTTAGTCTGGGAGCACTTTGGGACCCTAGTGACCATAATTTCATTAGTTTTAAAATAGTTATCGAAAAGGAAAGGCCTGATCTAAAAGTTAAAGTTCTAAATTGCAATTATAGACAAGAACTTTCAACAGTTGATTGGAGTAGACTGTTTGGAGGTAAAGGGATGGCTTACAAGAAGGAGGTTTCAAAAGTGAGGGAACAAGAGTCCAGAGGCAGTATGTTCCTGTTAGTGTGACAAGTAAGGCTGATAATGGTAGGAAGGAGACAAACGTTGTAGACAACTGGGATCAAGTGAATCTCCTGAAAAGTTTAAAGAGTGTCAGGGCATCCCAAAGAGGGAAATCAGGACGATAAAAAGAGGGATAGGGAGATAGCGTTGGCAGATAAGGTTAAGGATAATCAAAGAGATTCTACAAGTACAATTAGAGCAAAAGAGCAACTAGGGAGAGAATAGGGCCCCTTAAAGATCAACAAGGCCGTCTATATCAAGAAGGCATTTAGCATGCTTACCATCATTGCTCAGACCATTGAGTACAGGAGTTGGGACGTCATGTTGAGGTTGTACAAGACGCTGGTGAGACCATTTTTGGAGTACTGTGTGCTGTTCTGCTTGCTCTGTTATAGGAAGGATGTTATTAAATTGGACAGAGTGCAGAATTGGGGTGGCATGGTGGCTCAGTGGTTAGAACTACTACTTCACAGCGCCAGGGACCTGGGTTCAATTCCACCCTCGGGCGACTGTCTGTGTGGATTTTGCACATTCTCCCCGTGTCTGTGTGGGTTTCCTCCCACAGTCCAAAGATGTGCAGGGTAAGTGGACAGGTCATGCTAAGTTGCCTGTAGTGTTCAGGGATGTGTAGATTAGGGGGATGCGTCTGGATGGGATGTTCCAAGGGTCGGTGTGGACTTGTTGGGCCGAAGGGCCTGTTTCCACACTGTAGGGATTCTATGAAAAGATTTACAAGGATATTACCGAGATTGGAGGGTTTGAGTTATAAGGAGAGGCTGGATAGGTTGGGATCCTTTCACTGCAGCATAAGAGGTTAAGGGGTGAACTTAAAAAGGGCTATAAAATCATGAAAGACATAGATAAGGTGAATATCAAAGGTTTTTCCCTAGGGTTCAAAAGAGAGAGAAGGATAACAAAGAAGAAAGAAAATTACAGCACAGGAACAGGCTCTTCGGCCCTCCAAGCCTGCGCCGATCCAGCTCCTCTATCTAAACCTGGCGCCTATTTTCCAAGGATCTGTATCCCTCTGCTCCCTGCCCATTCATGTATCTGTCCAGATACATCTTAAATTACGCTATCGTGCCCACCTCTACCACCTCTGCTGGCAACGCGTTCCAGGCACCCACCACCCTCTGCATAAAGAACTTTCCACGCATATCTCCCTTAAACTTTTCCCCTCTCACCTTGAAATCGTGACCCCTAGTAATTGAGTCCCCCACTCTGGGAAAAAGCTTCTTGCTATCCACCCTGTCTACCTCTCATGATTTTGTAGACCTCAATCAGGTCCCCCCTCAACCTCCATCTTTCTAATGTAAATAATCCTAATCTACTCAACCTCTCTTCATAGCTAGCACCCTCCATATCAGGCAACATCCTGGTGAACCTCCTCTGCACCCTCTCCAAAGCATCCACATCCTTTTGGTAATGTGGCGACCAGAACTGTACGCAGTATTCCAAATGTGGTCGAACCAAAGTCCTATACAACTGTAACATGACCTGCCAACTCTTGTACTCAATACCCCGTCCGATGAATGAAAGCATGCCGTATGCCTTCTTAATCACTCTATCCACCTGCGTTGCCACCTTCAGGGTACAATGGACCTGAACATCCAGACCTCTCTGTGCATCAATTTTCCCAGGGCTTTTCCATTTACCATATAGTTCGCTCTTGAATTGGATCTTCCAAAATGCATCAGCTCGCATTTGCCTGGATTGAACTCCATCTGCCATTTCTCCGCCCAACTCTCCAATCTATCTATATTCTGCTGCATTCTCCAACAGTCCCCTTCACTATCTGCTACTCAACCACCACTCCATAACCTCCTGGTTTTTATATTCAATTGCCCTCGTGAGAGATGATCACATTCTATGAGGCTTCCTGACTGCTTGCAGACTCGTTTTCTATGATCCAGGCCACAGGAAACCCAGATCCCTCTGCATCTCACAGCTCTGCAAACTCTCACCATTGAGATGATTTACTTCTTTTTTTATTTTTCCTGCCAAGTGGACATTTTCGTACTTTCCCACATCGTACTCCATTTGCCAGAGATCTGCCCACTCACAAAATCTATCAATCCAATTTTGTAATGACTTTGTATCTACCCAGTTAGCTGGTGGAAGGAGGGTTGTTGGTTTGTATGGTTAGGGAATGGGCTAGTAAATAACAAACAGAGAGTCAGGAGGAATGAAATCATTCATGACAAACTGAGACTGTTGGCCTGCCACAAAAAGGCAGCAAGTTCTCAATAACTTACAGCCTGCCCTCCTGACCAGGTGAAGAAAGAACTGTATTGTAGCCTCATTTACTGATGGCAGAGGGATAGGTAGGGAAAGGAAGTTGTGAGGAGGATACAGAGTCTGCAAAGGCATATTGCTCAGTTAACAGAATGGACAAGGTTTAACAGCTAGAGTATAATGTGTCCACTTTGGCAGGAAGAATTGAAAGGAAGAACGTTCTTTAAATGGTTGCAGTACACGGGGATTGGGATCAATTTGTATGAATCATAAAATATTAGGATGTGGGCCCTGCAATGATTAGGAAGACAAATGGAATATATTTTGTTTTTGCAAGGTGGGGTGGTGAGCACAAACGTACAGAATCTTTCGACAACTGCATGGAGCCTCGGTGAAACCACCCTGAGAGAACAGAGTTTGATCTCCTTACTCAAGGAAAGTGTTCAGAGAAGGGTCACATGACAGATTCCTGAAATAGTAGGCTGGGGCTATTTTCCTTGCAGCGTCAGAGGTTGATGGGTGACCTTATAGAGGTTTATAAAATCGTGAGGTGCATGGATAGGGTGAATAGACAAGGTCTTTTTCCCCAGTGTGAAAGTGTGAGAGAGTGTGTGTGTATTCATTGGACGGGGTATTGAGTACAAGGGTTGGCAGGTCATGTTACAGTTGTATAGGACTTTGGTTCGACCACATTTGGAATACTGTGTACAGTTCTGGTCACCACATTACCAAAAGGATGTGGATGCTTTGGAGAGGGTGCAGAGGAGGTTCACCAGGATGTTGCCTGGTATGGAGGGCGCTAGCTATGAAGAGAGGTTGAGTAGATGAGGATTATTTACATTAGAAAGACGGAGGTTGAGGGGGAACCTGATTGAGGTCTACAAAATCATGAGAGGTATAGGCAGGGTGGATAGCAAGAAACTTTTTCCCAGAGTGGGGGACTCAATTACTAGGAGTCACGATTTCAAGGTGAGAGGGGAAAAGTTTAAGGGAGATATGCGTGGAAAGTTCTTTACGCAAAGGGTGGTGGGTGTCTGGAACGCTTTGCCAGCGGAGGTGGTAGAGGCGGGCACAATAGTGTCAGTTAAGATGTATCTAGACAGATACATGAATGGGCAGGGAGCAGAGGGATACAGATCCTTGGAAAATAGGTGCCAGGTTTAGATAGAGGATCTGGATCGGCGCAGGCTTGGAGGGCCGAAGGGCCTGTTTCTGTGCTGTAATTTTCTTTGTTCTTTGTTCTTGTTCTTTGTGTGTGAGTGAGGAAGTGTTTGCATGTGTGTATACGTGTGCAATGGTGCAGCAGACATGAGAGGGCCGAATGATCTAGAAGTGCTACTGAGTCAAAATCCTGGAACTCCCTCCCTAACAGCACCATGTATGTAACTACTTCCCAACAACTGCAGTGGTTCAGGAAGGCAGCTTCCAAATCCGGTAAAACCAGACCACTCCATTTCCAATGCTGTAAACATCAAACAGGTGACACTGTTACACAGGGAAGGGGAGGGGGAACGCGATGTGATGGAAAGCTCACCCTGTGTCCTTTCATTCCTGGGAGGCCTGGCAATCCATCGAAACCACGATCCCCCTAAAAAGAAACAAAAACAACTCAGAACATGACAGGTATGGAGGGTGAGACAGAGAGAGAGATTGAAAGTGTGTGTGTGTGAAAGAGAGTGTGTGTATGTGTGTGTGTGTGTCTGTGTCTGTGTCTGTGTTTCTGTATGTGTGAGAAAGTGTGTGTTGTGTCTGTGAGGGTGAGAATGAGTGTGTGCATTCATGCGTGTGGGATTGTATGTAGGGGATGGAGTGTGTGAGTATGTGTTTTTTGTGAGACTGTGTATGTGTGTGTGAGAAAGTGTGTGATTGTGTGTGTGACAGTGTGTATGTGTGAGAGACTGTGTATGAGGAAGTATTTGTGCATTTGTGTGAGATACGTATGCCTGTGGGAGTTTGCGTGTGGGAGGAAGGGAGCGTTTCACAGAGTGAGTGAGTGTGAGAGTGTGTCAGGGTGTCATCGTTAGAGTGAAGGGGAGAGAGTGTGTGAGTGTTAGAGTGTGTGTGGATGTCAGTATGAGTTTAAGTGTTGAAGTGTGCGAGTGTATGCTTGTGTAAGTATTTGTTTATGTGAACGTGTGCCAGTGAAAGGGGGAGTGTTCATGTGTTGGTGAGTGTTTATGCCAGCTCTGAATGTGTCTGCATTTGTGTGTCTGTATACACTTGTGGATGTTAGTGCCTGCATTCAATATAAATTATCTGAAATGGATGCACGCTGCACTTCATTTCAAAGACCATAAGGTCGAGAATACCACAATATTCACCAGAATAAATTGTCAGCTCAAAGCTTTCCTCGGTCACCACTTCTGTCAGAACCACCTGTCTCCCTGAGGGGCAGTCAGCCCCTGACCATGGAGGTTACAGCCTGTTTGTATGTGGCCCTGTTATTCTATGACTCTGTTATTACGTGGCCCTGTCACTATATTACCTCGTTAATTATATGACCTGTAATTGTATGACCTTGTTATTAATACAACTCCGTTATTAAAGGACCTGCATTGTTTTTCCACATGGAAATAGCTTGATTTTAAAGTTCTCATCTGGAATTTTAAATCCTCAATGCTCTGTCCACGTCCTGACATTTGAGACTTCCCACAGACCCACAATCCTCTGAGATATCTACACCATTTCATCTTGACCTTTTGTCCACCCACAGTCCACAGGGCTCCCACAATGCAGGCAGCCCCCACCATTCTGGGGCTTGCTCCCTGACCCTCCCCACCTCTGTACCCCTCTTTAACTCAGACTCTCATCACCTGCTTCATGGGACACCATGGGATATTCTCGTTGCTGATCACCTGCGTAAAGCTCCAGAGGATGTTTCGTTTCATTCAGGACACTACATAAATGCACATTGTTGTTGATGAGCAGAGGTGTTGGCCCAGTCCTCTTTGATGTGTTAATTACCTTTGCTCCAGGTTCTCCCGGCATTCCCCTGGATCCATCGGCACCAGGACGACCCTGGGAATGACAACATAACATCATAAGGAATTGTAGGAAGGAAACTGCAGGTATTAAAACCGCACGAGAGGAAACAGAGGAACAGGATACAAAGATATAGGTTCACCAATTAGGGATAGAACATGGAAATCAGGCAGGGAGCTGGGGATTTGGGAAAAGAATTGAAAATTGGGATCAATGCATGGGAATTAGGAGCTGGAGATCAGGGAATAGGGTTTGGTGAATGGAGAAGAGATTTAGAAATTAGAGGAATTAGTAAATTAGGAGGAATTGGTAATGGAATCAAAGGTTGGAAAATGGAATTATGAAAATGGAATAATATCTGGAGAGGGAGCATCTTCTGGGTCTAATCAAACAAACAGATCAACAATTGACATGGGTTTACTGTGTGAGACTTGTCTCATTTCCCTGCTTTCCAAGGATTCCCAAACAAAAGTTTAAACAAAATCAACTGAGAAGGATGTTGACATTGTGATTCACACTTACCCTCTTGCCTGGCTTTCCAGGAGCACCAATAGGTCCTTGAATCCCTCTCGGACCCTGCAATCAGAGTATGGATACTGTTAGGCAGACCCACCATCACAATACAGCAGAGAACAGCTGCCCTCCCATTCCCCCCACCAGATCCTCAGGGTTACAAACAATATTCACTCCACCAGAGATGGAATGACAGCAGGATCCAGAATGATACAGCACAGGAAGAGGACATTCAGCCCATTGATACTGTACCCGCTCTATGAAGGATTTATTCAATTAGTCACATTTCCCACTCTATCCCTGTTGGCCTTGTATTTCCCTTTCCCAGTATTTTCTCGATTCCCTTTTCAAAGTGATAATTGAATCTGCTCCCACCCCCCCTTTCAGGCAGCACGTTCCAGATCCCCACAGCTCACTGTGTAAAACATACCCCCTCATCTCCCCCTCTGGGATTTTTCCCCGATTCCCTTCAATCTGTCTCCCTCTGCTCACAGACGTCCCGCCCCTGGAAACACGGCCTCCTGATTTACTTAGTTAAAGCGGATGGTGCTATGGGAGAGGTGAAAATTGAAAGGCACGAGGAAAGGCTGGCTCTACTGATTGGGAGAGAATACTGGCTCCTGTGGGACCTGAGAGTTCACCACAATCTTCAAACATCCCTAGGCTTGGGGAAGCTGCCAAAGGGCTAGAGATGAGTAATTGTCACAGGAAGGAGTGTTAGGAGAGGCAATCAGATTAACATGATGCTGAGTGAAGGTTCAGAAGCGATAATTAGGGAGAGTAGTCACAGGCACAGGAACAAGTTGGAGCTAATGAGGGACTGTCAACACAGACTGAAGCCCAAAATCCAGGAGCTGATGGAGTCAGGGAGATTTATGAGCCTGGATAGGTGATGGAGGATCAGATGGACCAGTGCTGGGGTCTCAACTATTTCCAATTGTTATTCATGACTTGGACAGAGGGAGTGAGTGGAAAGATAAACTGGCATTGGAGAGGTCGAGAGAAGGTTCACTCAGCTGATCACAGAGATGGACGGACTGTCTTAGAAGGAGAGGTTGAGTAGTTTGGGCCTGTACTCATTGGAGTTTAGAAAAGTGAGACGTGACCTTATTGAAACATACAAGATTCTTAGAGGACTTGACAGGGGGGATGCTGAAAGGTTATAAAAACCGAAAGAACTACGGATGCTGTAAATGTTCTGAGGAAGACAGAACAGGGAGTTTGAGTCACAGCAAGGGAGCAAAGGAGAAAGTAATAACATCTAAATCAGAGTGATGTACATATGTACATAGTTATGGTATAGGTATATAGGGTTAGAGGTATATATGTGATATACAGCATGTGGTGAATAGCCTGCCCTGTCTCAGCGCCTTGTCACATCTCCCCAGCTCCTTCTGCTCCTGTTCCCAGTATGAGCTGTAGCATTTATTTTATATTGTCTCTCTGTTTTTCGAAGCAAAATGTACCATCTCAGTCTTCTCAGCATTGACTCATTCTGTCATATCCTAGTGAGAAAGTTGCTAATATGGCACACAGTAGCCTGGGCTTTGTTTATCAGGGTATGGAGCACAAAAGCGAGGAGCTGATATTGAAATTGTATTTAAACTGAGAAAGCCTCAGTTGGAGCACTGCTCCCAGCTCTGGGAGCTGCATTTTACTATACTCAAAGTGCAGGTAAGATTCTCAAACATGGCTCTGTGGATGAGGAGCTTCAGTTATGAAGATAGATCAGAGGCGATGGGGCTGTCCTCCCTGGAGTAGAGAAGGCTGAGAGGGAGTTCTGATTAAAGTGTTCAAAATCAAAAAAAGAGTGGTCAGAGGAGATTCAAGGGCCCAAACACATCTTCCAGGTGAAGCAGCACTTCACCTGCACTTCCCACTATCTAGTCTACTGCATTCGCTACTCACAATGTGGTCTCCTCTACATTGGGGAAACAAAGTGTAGACTGAGTGATCGCTTCACAGAACATCTACGTTCCACTCGCAAAATAGACCCTGAGCTTCCAGTTGCCTGCCACTTTAATGCACCACCCTGTTCCTTGGCCAACATTCTGTCTCTGGCTTGCTGCAGTGTTCCAGTGAAGTTCAGTGCAAGCTGGAAGAACAGCATCTCATTTTCTGCTTGGGGACCTTGCAGCCCTCTGGACTCAACATCGAGTTTAGTAATTTTAGAGCCTGATTCCATCCTTCCATGTTCGTAACTACCCCCATACCCAGCCCTGTTATGACATGGGTTACTTTTAGCATTGTCACCTGCTCTGTTCTCCTCTTGGCTCTTGTTATCACTTATTCAGCATTTCTTCTGTCCCGTCTTACTGTCAATAATGCCCACATCAGCCTAGGCCTTTCATATCTTTCTCTATCTCTCTGGGCTCTATCTCCAACTCTCCCCTCAAAGCCCGCCCTCCCACACCCCATCATCTGTATAAATACCACGTTTCCCAGCCGCTAATAGCTCTGAAGAAGAGTCACCACACACAAATCATGAACTCAGATTCCCTCCCACAGATGCTGCCAGACGTGCTGAGTTTCTCCAGCAATTTCTGTTTTTGTTAAAAAGAAGCTGTTTCCATTTGTGAAAGGAATGAGAAGGAAACAACACAGATTAAAGTATATGTTAAAAGGACGAAAAGTAGCAATAGCAAAATCTTTTCACACAGCGAGTGGATAGGGTCTGGAATGTACCATCTGCAAGTGTTGGGGGATGAAGGTTCACTTGAGTGGATAGGGTCTGGAATGTACCATCTGCAAGTGTTGGGGGATGAAGGTTCACTTGAGTGGATAGGGTCTGGAATGTACTGTCAGAGTGGAAGAGTCCAGCACATCAGTGCAAAAGATAAGGCTGAAACTTTCGCAGCAATCTTCAGCCAGAAGTGCCGAGTGGATGATCCATCTCAGCCTCCTCCAGTGGTCCCCAGCATCACAGATAACGGAGACACTGGATACTGCAAAGGCTATGGGCCCTGACAACATTCCAGCAATAGTACTGAAGACTTGTGCTCCAGAACTTGCCGTTCTCCTAGCCAAGCTGTTCCAGTACAGTTACAACACTGGTATCTACCCAACAATGTGGAAAATTGCCCAAATATGTCCTGTAAAAAACGCAGGACAAATCCAACCCGGCCAATTACCGCCCCATCAGTCTACTCTCGATCATCAGTAAAGTGATGGAAGGTGTTAGTAACAGTGCTATCAAGAAGCACCTGCTCAGCAATAACCTGCTCAGTGATGCCCAGTTCAGATTCTGCCAGGGCCACTCAGCTCCTGACCTCATTACAGCCTTGGTTCAAACATGGACAAAAGGGCTGAATTCCAGAGGTGAGGTGAGGGTAACAGACCTTGACATCAAGGCTGCATTCGACTCCATTTGTTCAGCGGCGGGAGCCGGGAGAGAGCACGAGGGGACTGCCGAGAAGGTAAGTTCTTCATTGCGGCAGCGGGGCTGAGTGGGAGCAGTCGAATTGCGCTTTGGGAAGGTGAGTGAACTGATATATTTGGGCAGTGGCTAAACCCGAGGCACAACATGTGTAGTGTCTCCCACCCACCCTCCTCTTCTAACCAAATAAAAAGACTCTGTGGTGTGTCGATAAGTGTTTTTCTTTTTTTTATCATGTGCTGGTAAGTAGAGTGATTGGTAAAAATTTTTTCATTTCATTTATCTATTATTTGATGTTATAGTGGGACTAAGTTAAGCGCAAGAGTAAAAATGGCAGGAGATCCCAGACCTGTGTTATGCTCCTCTTGCTCAATGTGGGAGCTCAGGGACGTGGCTGATGTCCCCGAGTCCTACACGTGCAGGAAGTGTGTCCAGCTGCAGCTCTTGTTAGACCGCATGACGGCTCTGGAGCTGCGGATGGACTCACTTTGGAGCATCCGCGATGCTGAGGAAGTCGTGGATAGCACATTTAGCAAATTGGTCACACCGCAGATTAGGATCGCTGAGGGAGAAAGGGAATGGGTGACCAAAAGGCAGAGAAAAAGCAGGAAGGTGTCCCCTGCGGTCATCTCCCTCCAAAACAGGTATACCGTTTTGGATACTGTTGTGGGAGATGGCTCACCAGGGGAAGGCAGCAGGAGCCAGGTTCATGGCACAGAAGGGCGGGAAAAATAGTGGAAGGGCTATAGTCATAGGGGATTCGATTGTAAGGGGAGTAGATAGGCAGTTCTGTGGCCGAAAACGAGACTCCCAAATGGTATATTGCCTCCCAGGTGCACGGGTCAGGGATGTCTCAGATCGACTGCAGGACATTCTGAAGGGGGAGGGTGAACAGCCAGCTGTCGTGGTGCATATAGGCACCAATGATATAGTTAAAAAACGGGATGAGGTCCTACAAGCAGAATTTAGGGAGTTAGGAGCCAAGTTAAAAAGTAGGACCTCAGAGGTAGTAATCTCAGGATTGCTACCAGTGCCACGTGCTAGTCAGAGTAGAAATGAAAGAATAGGCAGGATAAATGAGTGGCTTGAGAGATGGTGCAGGAGGGAGGGATTCAGATTTTTGGGACGTTGGGACTGGTTCTGGGGGAGGTGGGACTATTACAAATCGGATGGTCTACACCTGGGCAGGACTGGAACCAATGTCCTAGGGGGTACTTTTCCTAACGCTGTTGGGGAGGGTTTAAACTAATGTGGCAGGAGGATGGGAACCAAATGAGGAGGTTAGTGGACAGTAAGGAGGTAGTAACTAAAGCCTGTAAGGAACTAGATAATGAAGTCAGTGTGACTAAGGGGAAGAGGAGGCAGAGAGCAGATGATGAACGCAAAGGGACAGGTGGTCTGAGGTGCATTTGTTTTAATGCGAGAAGTGTAGTAGATAAGGCAGTCGAACTTAGGGCTTGGATTAGTACCTGGGAGTATGATGTTATTACTATTACTGAGACTTGGTTGAGGGAAGGGCAAGATTGGCAACGAAATATCCCAGGATATAGATGCTTCAGGCGGGATAGAGAGGGAGGTAAAAGGGGTGGAGAAGTTGCATTACTGGTCAAAGAGGATATCACAGCTGTGGTGAAGGAGGGCACTATGGAGGACTCGAGCAGTGAGGCAATATGGGCAGAGCTCAGAA